ATAATCTGAAGGATAAACTAGCAAGTAAAGTAGGGTAAAGCGTAGAACTACTATAGAGGAAAAACAATAATATAAGATAATTAAAAAAATAAGTAAAGACAAATGTGAAGAAAAAATTAATGTGAAAATGCAATCACACTAAATCGATCATTATAAAATGAGATTTTTCAATTGATCTAACGATGAGTTTAACGATACTACATCATAAAATTTAAAGAATAATCAAAACAAACATTTTCTTTGAACTAACAATACAATACAATACAATACAATATGAAACATACAACACAACGGGTAACAACCATCCAAACAAAGTGTAGATATACACAAGCAATAAGTCGATCAGATACATTCCCAACTTTTTGTTAGCAATGTCAAATTGCAAAAGTCGAATACATTTAACATAGACTCTTTTTTTTCTTTCTAATTGACACCAGTGGGACTACATTCAAAAACCAAACAAAGTCGAATACATTTATTCTTGATAACTCTGTCCTTTGAAAATAAAAGAAACATTTATTTGAATCTGAAATTACATAAAAGCACAGCTCTTATATTTCATCAAGGTTTGGATGTAAAGTTGAAGTTGGCACATGTTGTTTGACCAAATAAGAGTGATGAAGTAAAACCGAGCCTTTTATTAGCAATATCAAATTGCAAAAGGTTGTCTTCAATTTGATGTGCTCCAATGACTATAGAAGTTGTTGGTTCAAATTCAACTCCTCCATCCACAAATCCAAGACAAAGCACGTCATCATTCACCGCCACCATAGAATTTACACCCCAAATAGTCCAAGATGTAGTAGCATTTTTGTTACGCAACACTAGTTCAATGGGTGGAACACCAGGGCCAACGCGAGTACTTCCCAAGCTCGTTCTGTTATAGCACACTTTAAAAGGTGCCACAGGTTTCACCCTTGGAACCTTAGATATTGATTTAACAAATGCCTTTGTTAAAGCATTGTAAATCGAAGTCTCTAATTTTGTGTAAGGTTCAACCGTACTAATTTTTGTTCCACCTTTCCCATCTTTGGTTATGTTCAACAATGTGGTGTTTATTGGCACAACATTACCATTAACTTTGATAGATGTCACTCCAATAAAATAATCCGTTGAAGGTTCCCCTTCAAAATATGACCCTGATGTACTAACAGGGTTTTTGAGAAGTGGAGTGTATACAAGTCTCTTTGAGACATCCATTCCAGGAAGAAAAACATAAGGACTATCACCAAAGAAGATAACACCACGAGAGGTTGTGGATGAAGTCAAACATATAGCGAATTTTCGAGGTATACTAAAAGCATTAGCTAATTGAGTAGGAAATCCTACATAACCATTTCCAAGTCCAAGAATGCCTCTAACACCCTTTGCTAGTCCTTCAAGAAGAGAATGAGGAGCACAATCAAAAACTACTCCATTTGTAGTTGATAAGTATTTACGAGGATTCGAGCCATCGGTTGATTGAAGTGAAACAACATCTTGAGCAAGTTCACCACCCGTGCTAGTACGAATAAAGGGGTTATAAGGAATATGTGAACAAGTGTTATTATTGCACCCTGGTGAAGGAGGACCTATACATGATTCAACACATGCACCGGAGAAAGAACGTTTACAAGGGATAGAACCACAAGGGACGGGTTTATACGATGAACTAACATAACCTTTTTCACAATCAACCCATAAAAATCGTTGACCAAGATCGATCGTAAGTTTGACTGGGACAAGGGGTGTTCTTTGGTTAATGGTTGTGACAAATTGTTTAGTGGATGCATCTTTGGTTACTGGAAGAAGAAAAGCTCGAGGTCGCGGAGGCGTTTTCGCGAAGGAGAGGGAAAATAAGAGAATCAAAGAGAGAAACAAGGATAGACAATATATTTTGGTAACCATTGTAACGTTATGGATGAAGTGAGTAGAGTTTGAAGATGTAGCATCTTGATTTATAGTGATGTAATATGATTATTGGTGATTTATGACATGACGTTTATTTTATTAGCCAAGGGACAAGACGAAAGCTGAAAGAAAGCATAAATCTATATAATATATTGTGTATTTGATTAATGCATATACAAGTTGGGGTGTAAGAATACAAGGATCTATGAACATTGACTATAGATACACATAATTAATAGATATTGCCTGCCAGTTAATGATTTCGTCCAAATGAAGAAAGAAAAGGAATGGTGGAAGCATTATCCTATTATTATTATTATGTCAAAAACAATTGGTGAAGAACCGCATTCGATGGAGTTATATATTCATATTAATTAGTATATGGTATACAATTGTTTTATGTTATAAAATAACTAGTTTAACAAACTTATATTTATAAACTAAATTAATAAGAAGCAAAAAGGGAGCATAATTTATTCCAACCTCTTTTATATATTTTTTAAAATGAAAATAATGACTGTTTATAATCCTTAAGTAATATACAAATTAACACTCGACCATTATAAAATTATTCTCATAATGATATCTCTCAAATATTTAATATGATAAGTGATGACAATGAAATGGATAACCCCACATGACATCAGCTAGTTTAACAACATTTTTAAATTTTTCCTTAGGTTATTTATTAGTCAATATAAAGAGACATGAAATCCAAGGGTGGAATCACGTGGGTTTCTAGGTTCACCCAAATCTTTTCGATAAAAAATTATATTATATATATAAAATAACTTTGTATTTATGTAGATATATTATTTTTGACACTTCTCGCGAACAAGAAGCAATCTATAACATTGTGAAACTGTGAAAGATTCATTTAAAGTTGACCCTCACGTCCATGGTTTGAATTTCATTGTGAACATTTCTTCTTTTAGCTTAAGTTAAAAAGTCTTTTTGTAACGGAACTAACTTTTGTCCGTTTAATTAAACTATATTATTACTACCTTGGAATTGTATCTTTTTGTCTTTTTCACACGTTTATATTTTATTTTTCAAATTTCTTGAATGAAAATTCTAGATCTGTCCCTAATAAAATTGATTCTATGTTAGATGATGAATCACATTGCAATTTATGAAGCTCTATAAGTCGCATCTAACCATGTGTTTTGTGATGATGAAACGAACTATCAAAAATGAAAGATTTAATTCATTAATGAACTCTTAAAATTATTCACTTAATAATTTTAATTCAAACTTTATATCTATTAGATTCACTTAAAATATATATATTTTTTTCCATATTCGAAAAGTATTTGTTTTATTAAGCACAAACATAAAATGATAACAAATCAGATTCATATTATATAAATTTTGATCAATATTTAAAATAAAAATATATACATGAGAAAAACTACATTTATAATATCTTTTATGTTACTATTTTATATTTAAATCTTACATTTAAAATATTATATTAAATTAATTTAGCTTTAAATTTCTCAACTTGACTTCAAAAAGCAAAAATATTACATAAATTATAGAGGGAGTGTGAAATATGAGAATTTAAGACGTTGTGCAGCAAAATACTTACCTTTCATTTAATATTGATAGTTTGGTACCAAATTGAATAATTTAATTTCAAGTGTCGTCACATATTGAATTGAGAATAATACATTATAACTAAGGATATGTAATTAATCAATCACGTGCATTTTCTAATTTAGTGAATTTATTCCCTCTTTTTTATTTTATTTGATCTTTATAGTAAAAAGATTGTATTTCTTGCACTCTTTTTTATTTTATTTGATCTTTATAGTAAAAAATTTTTATTTCTTTTTATTTGTTCATAATAGTAAATCAAGAAAATATTACTCCTTATTTTTGCCTCATACTATTCTTAATATATATAAATAACTATATGAAATAATCATTAAATTTAGCAGAAATGATGACCATTTCAGATACAATAAAAGAAATGATCTATTGTATACTATAAACACACTCATTTTAATTAATCGATTAACAGTACTAATTTATTGTTTTAATTTTTCTTAGTAAATTAATTTTGTTTAAATAAATCTTAGCGAAATTTTCTTGTTGATTCAATTCACGGCTATGGCGCAAAATAGTAGCTAATGTAAGAGACCTACTATACTTATGAGTCCGGAGCCTAAACGGTACAAAATATTAACAAAAATTTCAAAATGGTATATAAAATTTTATATTAACCAAAAGGGTAAAATCGCTGCACCAATAGCGACTTACCCCACCGGAAAAAGCAAAATTGCTGCCTCTGCAGCGATTTTGCAAAATCTGTTTTAGAAATTATTTTTTTTACAAAATCGCTGCCCCAGCAGCGTTTTCTTCAAAAAAAATTTAAATTTTTTTTGAGCGATTTCTTAGTTTAAAATTTTTTTTTGAAGAAATTGCTGCTCCCAGCAACGATTTCTTTTTTTTTTAAAGAAAAAACAACAACATATTTTGCAAAATCGCTGTAGAGGCAGCATCTACAGCGATTTTGCTTTTTCCGGTGGGGTAAGTCGTTGTTGGTGCAGCAATTTCACCCTTTTGGTTAATATAAAATTTTATATACCGTTTTAGAATTTGTGTTAATATTTTGTATCCTTTAGGTTCCGAACTCCTATACTTATCACCGGAACTTCAAGCACAAGAAAGACGACTATGTTATGAACAGTAACTCAATTGAAATTACGCGTACGCCTAGCCGAGATAGCAGCCAGGTCAGCATTCCCCAAGTAATAGAAAGTGTGAGACGCAGTACAAGAGGTGAGAAAGTATCCAACAAAGTTAACAGATTTCGTTTAGCATCCGAGTGTGGAACGCGTGAAGTGGGAAGCAAGAAATTAAGATAGTTGACTCTACCTATAAATACACAGTAGCATAAGAATAAGAGCAGGCAAGTTTTATGTGAAAGTTCTGTACTCCTCTCATCCCCATTCTTCTGTTGTTCTCATCTCCTTCTTTGTGTCTTCAATTTCTCTGCAATTCATTATCACTACTATTTCATTTTTGTAATTGACAGTTAGCAATACAATTACTATTTGGTGTTATTGACTTCATTCTATTGGTGCTTTCATTGCTCGAGCTCCATGACCGGGTTTTCAAGTTCCAATGTTCCTACCACTGTTCCGTCATCCTCGTCGGTGGTTCCATCAAAGGAGATCTCTGAGTTGTCGGCCTCAGTTACATATCTCACTAAGGCCTTTGCTGGGCAACAAAAATTGCTCTTGGATTTGATGTCTCAGGTGGCTAATACTTCGCACTCCCAGGCAGTTGATATGGCGGCTCCGATCGGCGCTCCGCTTATACCCTCCATGAGACATAAACCAACTTCTGTTGAGATGTCTCGTTTTTATGGTGATAATCCTGAGAGCTGGGTCTTTCAGGCAGAGAGGTATTTTGATTTTTATAATATTTCTGAGGATCATAAATTGTCCATAGCTTCGTTCTATTTGGATGGTGAGGCCCGTGAATGGTACCGCTGGTTATTTCGAAACAAACAATTGAGCGAATAGGCTAATTTTGCTTTGAAAGTAACTAGTAGATTTCATAAACGTACATTGCTTCCAGCAGAGGGGCGTTTATCCAAGCTCCGACAAACTTCTATCGTCTCTGATTTTCAGACTCAATTTGAGTCTATAGCTAATGAGACTACTGACGTCCCAGACTCTTGGTTGGTTCCGTTGTTTACTTCGGGTCTTCGCGCAGATATTCAAACCGTTGTTCTGGTCCATAAACCAAAAACATTGGATGAAGCTTTTGAATTGGCCCATACTCATGAACAACGACTTTTGTTGGAGCGGAATGGATCGTTTAAACCGGCCTTCACAAATTCTCCACCTCTTCTACCAAACCCCAGTCCTTACCCACATAATGTTAACTGCAATCGACTGCCCATTAAGCGTCTCTCACCGATGGAGATCCAGCAACGCCGAGAAAAGGGGCTATGCTTTCGTTGTGATGAAAAATACTCTACTAGTCATAAATGTAAAGCTCCCCCGCAATTATTATTGCTTGAATGTGAACCAGAGGTGCAAGACCTTCTCACTAATTCTTCTTTGACTGATGAAATGTTGGCTGAGGAGCTTCAACAGCTTGAGGTGATGCATTCGTCCAGTATCTCATACCACGCTATGGCTGGTGGTGATGCTGCTTCTGCTCTCCGTTTTACTGGTTACGTTCAGGGCTCATCAGTGCAAGTTATGCTCGATAATGGCAGCACACACAATTTTATTCAAACTCGTGTGGCTAATTTCCTTCACTTAGCAGTAGAGCCTATTTCCCAATTCTCTGTTATGGTAGGCAGTGGCCAACGTCTTCCGTGTACTGGAACTGTCCGCCAAGTTCTGTTAATGATTCAGGGGTGTCTTCTCACTATGGATTTCTTTTTCTTGCCGATGCATGGCTCGGACATTGCCTTAGGGGTTTCATGGCTTGCTACTTTGGGGCGTGTTGTTACTGATTATGGTTAGAGGATATTTGAATTTGAGTTAAATGGGCAACAATTTAGCTGGAAAGGCGAGTCTTCTATTGATATCCAGCCGGTCCAACTTCAGTGTTTACGATGCTTGTGCGCCACTGATGCTATAGCTACCTATTATCATTTGCAGTTAATTGGGGCTGTACCTTCAAATTCTCCTGAGACACCACCTGCCATTTCTGCCTTATTAGACTCCTTTAAGGACGTTTTTACAAAGCCACAAGGACATCCGCCTAAGCGTCTTCAAGATCATGATATTCATTTGGCTCCAACCACAGAACCTGTTAATGTAAAGCCCTATCGATATTCGTATTTTCAGAAACACATCATGGAGCAATTGGTGAATGAGATGCTTTCTGAAGGTATTATTCGCCCAAGTACTAGCCCATTCTTTTCCCCGGTGTTACTAGTTCGTAAGAAAGATGGCTCATGGCGCTTTTGTGTTGATTATCGGGCATTGAATGCTGTCACCATACGGGATCAATTTCCTATTCCCACCATTGATGAATTATTTGATGAACTACATGGTGAAAAGTATTTTTCTAAACTTGATTTGTTGTCTGGCTATCACCAAATTCGAGTGCGACCCGAGGATATTGAAAAGACTGCATTTCACACACATGAAGGACACTGAATTCTTGGTAATGCCATTTGGGATTTCTAGTGCCCCATCCACTTTTCAAGCCACAATGAATTCGGTGTTTCGTCCCTTTTTACGACGATTTGTATTGGTTTTCTTTGATGACATTTTGATATATAGTCCTTCCTGGAAGCTTCACTTGGATCATCTTTAATTGGTCCTATCCACTTTACGAGAACATCAGTTGGTTGCCAAGCTCTCCAAATGTGCGTTTAGGCAAAAGACCGTGGATTACTTGGGTCATGTGTTATCCCAACATGGGTTGATAGTGGATCCGTCAAAGATTAACACTATCTAACACTAGCCTGACCCTCGCAATATCAAGGAAGTTCGTAGCTTCTTGGGGTTAGCGGGATACTACAGACGTTTCATCCGCAACTATGCTATGCTTGCAAGTCCGTTGACTGATTTACTACGTACTGATTCTTACTCTTGGACTCCTGAAGCTCAAGATGCATTCAAGAAACTTAAGAGTTGTCTCAGCTCTACACCAGTGTTAGCATTGCCTGACTTTAGTCAACCATTCCAGGTTGAAACTGATGACTCTGGGATGGGCATTGGGGTTGTTCTCTCTAAAAAAGGACATCCTGTTGCCTATTTCAGCCAAAAGTTATGCCCGAGAATGCAACAGGCTTCCACTTATGTGCGCGAAATGTTGGCTATCACTCAATATGTTAGCAAATGGCGCCAAATCTATTAGGGAGACGTTTTACTATAATCACTGATCAACAGGCTCTTAAGAGTCTCACTGGTCAAGTAATCCAGACCCCAGAGCAATAAAAGTGGTTAAGCAAACTCGTGGGATATGATTTTGAAATTGTATATCGGCCAGGAAAACACAACCTTGCCGCAGATGCACTATCTCGTTTACCGACTGCTTCACTAATGGCTTTTTCCAGTCAATCATTTCAGTTATTTGACACTTTGCACCTCAACAACAAGGAGAATACAAAATTACTATCTATACAATAAGGACTTCGTGATGATCCTTCCGCATTCCCCGGTTATTGTTATCGAGGAGGGCTCTTATTTTTCAAAGGACGATTAGTGTTACCTGCTGATTCACCACTTTGCCTCCACCTGCTCCAAGAGTTCCACTCTTCTCCCATTGGTGGCCATTCGGGCATTGCCCGTACCTTTCATTGTTTGTCTTCCAATTTTTATTGGAAGAATATGCGTCGTGACATAAAGGTATTCATAGCATCTTGTCAAGTTTGCCAACAAATGAAGGACCACCATCATCACCCTGCTGGCTTATTACAACCACTTCCAATTCCGGAGCAGGTATTCGAGGAGATCACAATGGATTTTGTGACTTGCTTGCCTCCATCTCGCGGTAAAACGACTATCATGGCTGTAGTTGATAGATTATCCAAATATGGACACTTCGTACCGCTGCCTGCTACTTTCACAGCTTTGACAGTTGCTGAAGCTTTTATAGCCCACATTCTCAAGCTTCATGGTCCTCCTAAATCCATTGTCACTGATCGAGATCCGCGTTTCTTACATGGGTTTTGGCAGGAACTTCATCGCCTCCAGGGAACATCTTTAGCCATGAGCACTGCTTACCATCCTCAAATGGATAGTCAATCTGAAGCTCTCAATAAATGTGTTGAACAATATTTGCATTGTTATGTGGCAGATTCGCCAAGTGATTGGGTCAGTATGCTTCCATGGGCAGAGTATTGGTATAATACGTCTTTTCAAACATCAGCTGGTATGTCTCCCTTTCAAGCCTTGTATGGTCGTGCCCCACCAACTCTAGCTCGTTATGTGATTGATGGAAGTTCCCATGAACTCGTGGAACAGTTCTTTCTCCACCGCGATGAGGTTTTGCACTCTCTCAAAGCCAACTTGTTGCGTGCTCAAGGTCGTATGAAGAAATTTGCTGATCAGAAACGCACACATGTTACTTTGGAGGCTGGTGATTGGGCTTATGTCAAATTACAACCTTACAAACAACATTCCTTACGCTTACATAAACACCACAAGCTGGATAGAAAGTATTTTGGACCCTTCAAAGTATTGCGGCGCATCGGTTCAGTGGCTTACAAATTAGAATTACCAGTGGCTGCGTCTATTCATCCGGTCTTTCACATTTCGTTGCTCAAAAAGTGCATAGGTTTGCCTGAACAACAAATCACTCCATTAAATCTCAGTGACACATCTACGATTGCAGCTGGAATGAACCTTGTGGACAAGGTTCCTTTTGGGGTCGGAGGTTATGTTATGAACAGTAACTCAATTGAAATTACGCATACGCCTAGCCGAGATAGCAGCCAGGTCAGCATTCCCCAAGTAACAGAAAGTGTGAGACGCAGTACAAGAGTGAGAAAGTATCCAACAAAGTTAACAGATTTCGTTTAGCATCCGAGTGTGGAACGCGTGAAGTGGGAAGCAAGAAATTAAGATAGTTGACCCTACCTATAAATACACAGTAGCATAAAAATTAAAGCAGGCAAGTTTTATGTGAAAGTTCTGTACTCCTCTCATCCCCATTCTTCTGTTGTTCTCATCTCCTTCTTTGTGTCTTCAATTTCTCTGCAATTCATTATCACTACTATTTCATTTTTGTAATTGACAGTTAGCAATACAATTATTATTTGGTGTTATTGAGTTCATTCTAACTATGATGACTTCCCTGGTGATGGTGATTGAGCTCCGCCACTTTAACATCGACTATTTTGCTAATGAGGAAAACTTTGACGAACGAGAGGGATGACACACATTTGATTGCTACTATAGATCAACGAAGACCTAGTAAATCTTTATACAATTCTTATTTAAGTATTCTTTTTACCAATTACCGTATTTTTTCCCCCAAGTTTTGAGCTTTTGTGGTCCCTAATCCAGAAGATGTTCTAAATGATTGTTAAGGAAGTTTTAGATTTTGTGGAAAGTTAAAGAAACATTCCATATATAGAAGATTTAAGGATTAGATAGCAAAATTAACTTGAATTTTGTTTAAGTTGTGATCTTCAAAGTATAATATATTGGTATCGAAAAAAAGGAATCTAAATTAAATTAAGTCAATGTATATTATATATTCATATAGATATACCCAAATATGGAAGGGATGGAATGAGAGGCAAAAGAGCGAAACTAGGGCTTTAAGTCGTTTATGTGGAGATGGGGTGTGTTGTGTTTGACATGCACATGTGGAATCCATGTGACATTTTAGCGCACACATGAATGTTTTTATTTAACTGAAGGACAAATGTGGTTAAATTAGTTAGATACGAAAGATATTTTTGAGCCGAATGTAATTTATATTTCAAATAATTTAAAAATAATTAACTCGTTTTTCTAAAATACGTATGATGAATATTATATAATTATTAAACTATCAAATTAAATCAATACTTCACTATTGATTTATTCTTTTAGTGTAACCGATTAAATTTGTATTGGGATTTATCTTAATTAATTTAATAACATGAACTTGGATATATGATAATACTATAAGGACAAAGATGTTAATTTATTTACAGTTGAAAAATGAGATAAGTAATTATGAGGAATCTAGAACACGCGTATAAATCCGTTTACTACTCCACTTGCCTATATGCACTAACTTTCCTGTCCATTCTTTACTTTTTCTTTTCTGCGCGCAAAAAACATATTTTTGGATCATAGTTATTCATTGTATTATAGCGTTTCTATTTCTATAATGTCTGTTTTAATTGTTACTTAAAATATATTATATTATATTATGAAATTTCGTTGTTACGAAATAATAAAAAAAACCTATTTTATGGAACATTTAATTTGATGTGTTTCTATTGTTACTTAATTTCTATTTCTAATTATACTAAAAGAGACTCGAGCCGGAGACTTTTGATTAGGATGTTTATTGTTGTCTTCAAACAAAGGTGGGGTGATGGGTCATATTGTCCATTAGACTATAGTAACATTTTTGAAATAATAAAAAGAAAGGAGTTACTGATCTACTATAAAATTCCTCATTTGTCTAATACCACTTGCTTTATTCTTTCTCTGTCTAACATAATGTCATTGAAACTTCCTTTATCTATGCTTGTCATTTTTCTTCAACTTGATATTTTTGTATGTTCATCTGAAGTATTATATCTTCCAGTCACTAAAGATGCATTAACTTTACAATACATTACAGAAGTAAGTCAAAGAACTCCTTTAATTCCCATAAAACTTTTAGTCCATCTTGGTGGTAGAAGTTTATGGGTGGATTGTGACAAAGGTTTCAAAAGTTCAACTTACAAACCTGGTGTATGTAATTCCACACAATGCACTTATTCCAATCCTAATTACTGTGGTGACTGCATATTGAAACCTAAACTTCAGCCTGGATGTAACAACAATAGTTGTTACATTTGGGGTGAAAATCCCTTGATCGATTGGTTTGATGATAGCGCTGAAATTGCTGATGATGTATTGGTTATTGGTTCTACTCCTGGTGTTCCTCTAACTTGGCCGCGATTTGTTTTTGCTTGCTTTGTTAGTCCCAATATGGTGAGACTTCTCGCCAATGGAGTCACAGGTATGTGAACTTACTGCTAGAAAACAAATTACTAGTGCTTTATATATTAAAAGGGAATATACCCAAGTACTCCTCAACCTATGCTCGAAATTCCAGAGACACACTTATACTATACTAAGGTCCTATTACCCCTGAACTTATTTTATTAATAATTTTCTACCCCATTTTAGCCTACGTGGGCTCACAAGATAGTGCCACGTAAGCTAAAAAGGGTAAAAAATTATTAATAAAATAAGTTCAGGGGTAATAGGACCTTAGTATAGGATAAATATATCTCTGAAATTTCGGGCATAGATTGAGGGAATATTTGGCATTATCCCTATATAAAAAGGTGAAACAACGATTTACAAGGCTTTGTACTTGATTTCATTTGTCAGGGATTGCAGGTTTTGGACGTGAAAGTCCAATTTCCATACCCAATCAACTTGCTTTAGACTCTAGATTCACCAAGAAATTTGGTATATGTTTGAGTTCATCT